ACAATAATTAGGATTATTATTTCACGATGGGAGTTTCGAACGGGAATAGTAGTTTTCGGGTGGAAGACCTCCTTCCGTCTCTCTTCTGAAGATCTTTCCTTAGCGGCTTAAAGGACGGCTTTAATTGAGCCTCTCCTGGCCGCTCGCAGATGGTGACTTTATTATCGACATTCAGTATAATTAAGTCGCTCTAAGCGGTAGGAAGAGAGCAGATCCCTTTCCATCTTTCCGTCGTAATCTACGAGTACTGGAAGGGAAAACGTCTGTCTTTCAGTGTTATAGTGACGCTTCTCATTGAACAAAAGGCACAGTTTTACTGTGAAAAAATGCAGAAGAAATGAACGTAGCGTGGCCTGGACGAAAAAAATATGCAGAACGAAAAAGAGATTTATTAATTTAATTACGTAATTTACATTTCTAGAAATGTTGCGCGTGATTAAGTAATGCATAATTTATGGCGAGTCTTCTATTTCATGCAGATTTTATTTGCAATCGTGAATACGAAACGTGCGAATAATTTTCCGCAAAAATAACGAAAACTTTGGCATACAACCTAGTTAGTGCGCCATAACTCTAACACGAGCATAATATTATAATTTTAATTAGGAACTAGTTAATATATACGTCATACACATTAGTAAATATCCAGCAGCATACGTTGTTGTCTCTATATGTGGCTGTTCATTTCGAAATAATTTTATGCGGCTCGGTCGTGCAGATGATTTGCAACTAAAATAAGATGATGATAACTGTGTAACTTCGTTATTAATTTATGCTACATTTTCGAGAGCCACCGTTAACGGGCGTGATGGAATATAACGGGAAACCTTTGCGCGCGAGGTCGAGAGATTTATCGCAAATCCGAAGAGTTTATTACGGAAGAGATGGAATATTATACCGCGGCATAATTAGTCGCGCGCGAAATTTACCGGCGTTCGCGCCAGTAATAAATAGCGCCGACTGGACTCTCCGGGCGCTAAACACCCCTTCCGTATTTGATTCTCGTTCCGATAAGCGGCAAATAAAATTAGATTTCGCGAGAGCGCACCGAAGCCATCGGAAAATTTCTTTCGTGGCGGCTTGATGGGATTCCAGGAATCCCATCTCTCGATATCGCGTGTCTCGCGCGAAAGACGCATGGTTTCGATAAAAAGGATTGCATCGGGAGAGAGGAAACGATCCCGGGAATTCCTTGGAAAAAAACCGCCCCTATTGGGGGGAGGGGGTAGGGCGAGAGAAGGTGAGAAATAAGAACGAGGAGCGTCGGCGCGAATTTATGTTCCGCACGCATGGAAATTTATGGGGCCGCTAATTGGAAGGGTAGGATCGACATCGGGGTGAAAAGATGGGAAAGAAACGGAGACGGAACGCGGTGCGGAGAGGCCTAGGATATATGCCGCGCAACTTTTAGGATTAATTCCCGGATAAATGGCCAGCCGCACGCCATTCTTACGGCCGGCGGGTAGATCCGATGGGAAGGGAAACAGCCGTCAGTTAACGTTTGTCAGGCTAATTAATTAGCAGCTGGCGAACTTTCGCTCTCGTCTCCACTGTCCTTCTCGCCCTTCTCTCTCGATGTCGGGATGTCGAAATTAATCCTTCCCTTCTAAGAAAACGCGGCGATCTCGAATATTATCCGTCGCGAACGCTCATCATCAGAACGATCTAGATGAATTACACCGAGACACTTTATTTACGCCTTTACGCTTTAGGTTAATTCTAATTTCTAATAATGAAATCGCCTCGTTCCCTGCGAATTGTTCATAATTTCAAGTGAGCGCAAAATTCGAAATCGGGCAGCTGTACTTTAATTATCTTCAACGTCCACCGCTGATCTCGATCTCGCTCGAAAATTATTCTTCACGTTTCCGGTCATCCTCTCATCCACTTTAATTGGTCTATTTCCATTCCGCTTAATCCCGACATCGAGTTTTTCTGTAAATCACTTACAGTACATTTGCAGTTAGAAACACTTAGACTCTCCATCAACACCGCTCGCCGTTGGAAGCCGCTTTGAATTTGTGCGGAAACTCGACTAAACCGCGAGAGCGCGCGATGCGAACTTCAATAAAATCGCTCGTAAAATTATTAAGCGAATACGGTTGGCGGAAATATCCGCCGTACTTACGACGAAGCCCCAACGTGCTTTACAATGCAATTAAATGGACACGTACGATGGGTGTAACTGAATTATGCGTAGAAACCGGCTGGCTCAAGAGTTGCCTAGTAACGTGTAACTTTCCTTTTTCAGAAATTTGAGAAATTTGAAAATTATCAAGTTTTTTAAATCGTGATATGTTTTTTTTCCTTCTTATCGCTTGTTTTTTTTCTTTAATTATATATTTTTGAGACATTTAATGTATTTGCAAAATTAATTTTTGAACATTATTATTTTTTCCCTTTTTGAGTAACTTATAACTTGAGTAACAAATATTTAGATTAAAAAAAATATCTAGATTTTAATTTAGAGATTCATTCGAGCACGTGTCTAGTTTAATATCATTGCAAAATTAACAATTTTAGCGTTTATAAAACAGAATCCCCTGAGATAAAATTTTAGCTTATCTTCTGCATTGTTCACTTCTTCCGAATTATTGCGATCGTCGTTCGCCGCTGAGAAACTATACTTTGTTGCTCGATTTTATTCGTTGCTTTTATAGCTTTTCTCAACACGTCGTATTTTTGAGATCGAGATATTGCAGTTAAACAGTATATTTTCCGAATATAGTATATCCATGATTGCGTTTCTTCCGCGAAGATGATATCGTGGTTCTTGTGTGTCAGTTTTCTTGTTTGTTTATCGGTTATCCCGAATTGCTTTTGTCGAGTATCTCCATTAAAGACACGTATACCGCCTCGTGGAAAATGCTACGCGAAGCCATACGTATATTTTCTTACTACAATCTGAAATGGCTTTCGATGGGAAATGGTAACAGTCGACATGCGTGGTATAACAATATAATCAATTGTTCTTCATTGCTCTGTTTTCATTTTATCAAAGTCGGTTAAAGCTTATAAAATTAAATATCTGTCAGTTGCAAAATTGAATTTTATTTTTTTTTTTTATTCAAGCAGCACAAAATAAATTTTTATTTATACACATATAGAAGCAAAGAAGAAAATTTCTTGTTATTACCAGATAATTAGTCTGCTACTTATACCTAAAAATTTATTTATCCGGCAACTCTGCGCGAGCTAGGAAGCGAGACGATTTTCTGTCGTCGTCACTGGTGGAAATTTCGTTAGGATACTCAGCTCGAGAGAAGTTATTTTTACGAAGTCAGATTTAGGAGCCTCGCTCGGGCGGATGCCGCGCTTTAATCTACATCGAAATTCTAATGTGGCGCGTTTCTTTAGCATTTTATGCTAATGTCCGCTGCGTCGTACCCCTTAAAGTTCACTTTGACAGCTTTACCGGCAGCGGCAGCTGATGAAAACGGCGACGGTCCACGAAACGCATTTCGCACGTGCGAAAGATAGGAAGGACGAGAGAACCGTCCGTCATATTTCCTTAGCATTTCCTATGACTTCGTTCTTAATTGAAAATTTTACTGCCTAGGCCAGCACATATTTTTCAGAACATTTCAAAACATTTCTAAAAAAATATCACTTTTAATAAAATATTTTAATAAATATTTTAATAAATATTTTAATAAATAAATATTATACGGCGATGAAATATGTGTATGAATTTTTCAGAGGAAATAATACTTGTACATTTTATATAAATATCTAATATGGAATTACTGGTTTAGAACGTAGCAAATAATAGTTTTCTCTGGCAATAATTATTCTGTAAATTGATGGAACAAGATCTCGCAAACTGATTGTTGTAGAACTCGTGGAACAATACTCGTTGTTACGATTTTCTTTTCCAATCCACTTCTCTTCCAATCTAATATCAGGGTCGAACTTACCGGGTGTTTCACTCGACGAGACTCGGAAAGACACGGCTCTTTTTAATAACCCAGCAGCGCCATCGTCCATTATACGGCTCTCACTTACAAAGTATAATGTCTCCCCGTTTTTACACTCAGTATGCGTCCAATTTTAATACTCTTGCATCTATTTTCGTTTGCTCTCCCGCATTTCTCTTCGTTTTTCTTCTGACGCTTGCTTTCTGCTTCTCGCTTCAAAGAAATAATTTTCTATTCCGCTTCATCACGCTCAGCAGACACGCCGAGAGAGAAATATCCGTGTGTGATCTGTATGTGATCGTGCAAAGGAGGAAGATCATGCATCGCATCGAAGTCAGTAAGGTCATCCATGAAATATTTTTTAAACCAGCGAATTTCCAATTATTTTAGCCACCTCGGTACACACAACAGCTTGTTTGAATAAGTATAAAACGTGTAGAGGACATGTATAATTTATTTGTGCTCTCATTTGTATTATAATTTTGGGGATTTTATTATTTGTTGTTATTTCCAAATAATTCTTTTATTTTTCTGCAATGTGTATATTCACATTTCAAACACTGCAAATAATTCCGCACTGTATCAGAAGCAGAAAATTTGCAACATTCACTTATTAACGATACATTCAATGTACGATTTAAATTTTATTTGATGATTGTGAAAGTATCTGTGTGTATATCAGAGACATCGGAATAGAATATTCTTGTGTCTTATCAACGTAAAAGCCTTATTCTATTGTATATTGGATTAAAATGAATACATCGATTATTATATAATTATTTAATATAATTGAAGATTGTTTTTCTATTGATATTATTACTTTTATCACGTTCTGTTACATGTCGATAATAAAACGATCGATATAAACGGATCTTCAATTATTTGCCCGTATACAAAGTTCTGGAAATACAAAAGGAAATATTGAAAACTCATTTTCGATGAAAATGATCATTTGTGAAATAAAATTTATATTTTTCCGGACAATTTGTATCTTCAGTACTTCGGACGCCAGAATGATATTCGTAATCAGCTCGTTTCTACTAAGCTTGCTTAATTCGTTTCCACTCTTGTTTTCTGTTACAGAACTCGAACAACCAGGTCGCGATCGCCGGACAAAATCAGGTGACAGGTGCTGGCGAGACTCAGGGCGGACCCAACACCGTACTCCGAGTCGTCGTGGAGCACCTGGTTTACCCGATTACTCTCGACATCCTCTACCAGGTAAGTGAGCAACGGACCACCCGGTACGTGACGGCCGGCTCATTTATTATTTCTTCGTTTTATATTGAAAGTGGTCGCAGTCGGTACGCTGAATGCAGTATCGCGTGTAATGCGACGATGAATTATATACATATTCAAGTATATACGTACGCGTATATACATTAGGAAAGGATGGAAATTTTTCACGTGACTGCGGCGTGTTGTGGGAATTTTTTTTGGAGGATTTTTCCATTGGTTCACAGATTTAGAAAGCTCTCCGTGGAGAGTGTCGCAGAATTATGAAAACGAAAGAAAAAAAAAAAAATAGGAGAAAAAAAGAAATATGCGCAAACTGTGTGTTTGCGTGTTACCGCGACGAAGGGAAAGGGTGTACCCCTAATTGGGGACGCCGGGAACGAAAGGGCTGCTCTAACGTAATTTAACTTCGACGGATGTCGTCATCGAAAAATGTCGCGCGCACCGGGAGTTGAATTAGTCGAATTTCGCAGACAATCCCGCGGTCGTTAACTCGCTCGCGGATATTTGATCAACGTTTACAAGTCGGGCGTGAATTCCGCTTGATTAATCTGCGCCGCGCGCCGAGTTGCGGCCGCGCGGCGAAGTTACATCGCGCTTTACATATTGAGTGCCTCGTCGCGAGCGGCACCCCGGCGACTGTTTGCAGTTTTAAAATTGAATATACGTCGGTAGCCCCGCCGAGATAACTGAATTCTAAATAATTGATTGTTAAAGTTATAGAATAATCTCCTTGCCGCCGCGAGATTGCCGGGATTGCTTGGCGCGTAGCGATAGATTTTGCGCGATACTCGTAAGATGCTAATTGCACTCGTGGCGGAATTGACATTTTGCTTTGTTATTGAAATACTTCAGGGGGAATAATAAATTAAATTGGAACAGTTCTGAATATTACACAGAGGTAATAGATCTTTCTATGCAGATTCATATAAATATATATATTCTAAAAATCAGCGAGTTTATTCTAGGAAACAAAAGATAAAGAATTTTATGGTTAATTAAATCGACATTTTAACTTATAGAGTTTTAGATGAAGAATTTCTAAAGAAATGTCTTTTAATCTCTTAAAACGAAAAAAAGATGGACATATCATTTTTCGTAGCGCATTTTTTAATACTTTTACGTGTAATTTTCTCATCCATGAAAATGAAACATTTTTCTGAGTCGTGAATCTTGCGAAGGACGCGCTAATGCACGAGACGGCGCACCGTTTTCCTCTCGGTAGGAAAACATAGGAGCAAATATTGCTGGTCATCATTAAGGGAAGGCAAGCCTTATCCTTGAGGATGCCGGATAACAGGATAACCGGAGTGCTTCCGGTCCGGGTTGAGTGGCCCATGCATTTTTAAGCGTGCTCCATAGCGCCGCGAATAATATCCTCGATGATGGTGTGCATACACGAAAGCCGTTCTTTCCATAAGTTCAGTGAAAACAGGATGTTTACGCTTGTTGCATCGCCCTTAAGCAGACGATATCCATTTTGCGCCGATAAAAACGAGCGGCATTCAATCGAACCAATTTTTTTCTAATAAATTTTTATTTGCATACGTGACAAATTTCTATTGTCTCATTAAATGTGTGTAACGACAAATTGAAATTGCCGGGAAATGTGCGTTTTGAACGATCACTTCGAAATGGACACACAACTCAATTTACCTCACTATCAATGTTTCAAAAATTATCGAAAAAATATAGTTTTCAAATTGTAGTTATTTATATCGAAATGTTCGCGCGCGCGTTATATCGTCACAACGGGGGGTGTTTCTTTCCGAATCTCCTTGAAAAACTTACGCGAATGCGCAAGTGGCGTGTAAGAAAACTATCCTTAACACTATCGATTTATCCAAAGCGCGTGTTGTATAGGGTGGCATTTCCTTTTTTCTCGCGTGGAATCAGGTCGTTGCGGAGCGGAGAGAACGCCGGAGCCGCACTAAGCCGATAATGGACCGGGCAGAAAACATTCCCGGATTACCAATCGACGATTGGTACGGCTACATGTTCGGCTGTATAAGTAGGCTTACATCGGACGGTTTTGGCAGCGGCGGAACTGGATTTGTGTCCGGCTGTTCGCGACTTGTAATCAGCTCGAAAGATTAACCCGCGTCGTAGCCAGCCAGCCGGGGGCTTACTTATTGCTCAGATGGATTCTTCGATCTGTTCGGGTATCGTATGATTTGTGCCGAAAAGAAGATCCTGTCATATCGCGGACTGACACTTATCTCCCGATCATAAGACGATTGATTCGTCTTCGTGAAAATA